CTCTTGTCGGTGAGTCTTGTGCAGATTTCAAATCCTTCGTCGTTCAGTTTTTCCCAGCGGACGATGATATTGTGAAAATCCGCTGCGTTGTCTTTTATTTTGCGAGCACTTCCTGTCATCGCCGCGGACTTCCTGTTGGACCCTGAGAAAAAACAACACAAAAACTAAAAACATTTGGAAAGTTCCACAGTGACTTTAAACATATTAAACTGTTCCAGTCGGTTTTAAAAAACGTCTAAAGTTTGAAGAGTTTAGATTTTTGATTTGATTTTTTGTGACTTTGTGTTTTATTTTGTTTTGTTGAATAAATCAAACTGAAGAGTCGCAGTGAAACAAACGAGTCGCCCTCTAGTGACCCACACACACTAATGACCCATGCACACTAATGACCCACGCACACACACTAGTGACCCACGCACACACACTAATGACCCACGCACACTAATGACCCACACACACTAGTGACCCACGCACACACACTAGTGACCCACGCACACTAATGACCCACGCACACACGTGACCCACGCACACTAGTGACCCACACACACTGGTGACCCACGCACACTAATGACCCACGCACACACGTGACCCATGCACACTAGTGACCCACGCACACTAATGACCCACACACACACACTAATGACCCACGCACACTAGTGACCCACACACACTAATGACCCACGCACACTAATGACCCACGCACACTAGTGACCCACGCACACACACTAATGACCCACGCACACTAATGACCCACGCACACTAATGACCCACGCACACTAATGACCCACGCACACTCACACTAATGACCCACGCACACTAATGACCCACGCACTCACTAATGACCCACGCACACTAATGACCCACGCACACTAGTGACCCACGCACACACACTAATGACCCACGCACACTAATGACCCACGCACACTAGTGACCCACGCACACACACTAATGACCCACGCACACTAATGACCGATGCACACATTAATGACCCACGCACACTAATGACCGATGCACACATTAATGACCCACGCACACTAATGACCGATGCACACATTAATGACCCACGCACACTAAAGACCGATGCACACATTAATGACCCACGCACACTAATGACCGATGCACACATTAATGACCCACGCACACTAAAGACCGATGCACACATTAATGACCCACGCACACTAATGACCGATGCACACATTAATGACCCACGCACACTAAAGACCGATGCACACATTAATGACCCACGCACGAGGTCAGGGGTCAGGGTTTATTGGATCTGTACAAACAGGAAACAAAAACACAACGCGGCTCATTTCGAGGAAGCAGAACACTGCACCTGTCTGCACCTGTCTGCTCCTGTCTGCTCCTGTCTGCTCCTGTCTGCTGCCTCCTGTCTGCTCCTGTCTGCCCTGTCTGCTCCTGTCTGCTCCTGTCTGCCCCTGTCTGCTCCTGTCTGCCCCTGTCTGCTCCTGTCTGCCCCTGTCTGCTCCTGTCTGCTCCTGTCTGCCCCTGTCTGCTCCTGTCTGCTCCTGTCTGCTCCTGTCTGCCCCTGTCTGCTCCCTGTCTGCTCCTGTCTGCCCCTGTCCTGTCTGCTCTGTCTGCCCTGTCTGCTGTCTGCTCCTGTCTGCCCCTGTCTGCTCCTGTCTGCTCCTGTCTGCTCCTGTCTGCTCCTGTCCTGCCCCTGTCTGCCCCTGTCCTGCTCCTGTCTGCTGTCTGCTGTCTGCTCCTGTCTGCCCTGTCTGCCCCTGTCTGCTGTCTGCTCCTGTCTGCCCCTGTCTGCTCCTGTTGCCCTGTCTGCCTGTCTGCCCTGTCTGCTCCTGTCTGCCCTGTCTGCTGTCTGCTCCTGTCTGCCCCTGTCTGCTCCTGTCTGCTCCTGTCTCACCTTCCATGTCCCGGTGGTCTCGGGTCTCGGGTCAATTCTGCTCGGGGTCTACGGCGGGTCCTGGTCCCGGTCTTGGTCCTGGTCCCGGTCTTGGTCCCGGTCTTGGTCCCGGTCTTGGTCCTGGTCTTGGTCCTGGTCCAGTTCTGATCCGGGTCTGAGTCCCACGTGCGGCTGAGCGCGTGCACAGCTGCGTCAGTGTGAGAGCAGCGCCCCCTGCCGCCCCGGAAGAGACTGCGCATGCGTATGTGTTTAGGCACGTGACACGTGTTTATGTGTTGTTATGTGTAAATAAGTTTAATGTGTTTAAAACTTTAGTTTAAACATAATTCTACACGTGTACATTTTTATATTTCTATTATTAAACTTGTGCTTATCATGTTTATAAGTTTAAATAAGTTTAATGTGTTTAAAACTTTAGTTTAAACATAATTCTACTCGTGGACATTTTTATATTTACATTAAAGTGCAGTGTCTCTGTTTTGCCGCTGGGGGCGCTATGACCTCACCGGAAGTGCGTGTCTGGGGCGGAAGTTAAGCACGGCACGGCGCACGCGTGGTCAGTTGCAGGACGATGGCGGCGGTGGAAGGTGAGGCTCCTCGCGGCTCCTCGCGGCTCCGGGGAAACTCTGGAAAAATGTTTAGGCTTTAGCGTGGCTCGAGTCTGTGACCTGAGGCTCTGTGACCTGAGGCTCTGTGCACCAGGTCACACGCTGCGGGGTTACGCTCTTTATGACTCGAGTTTTAACGCGCCTCTGCGCCACAGACACGCGCCGAGTCCGTGACTCCTTAAATTCTTTTGCTGTTTTGGTTTGTGTTTATGACTCGAGTTCCCCACGGACCCGCGCCCTGACCCGCGCTCCGCGGGGATTCAAGTCTTTTTCTGCCGCAGAAAAACGCGTTTGTGCGCGTGTGCAGCGTCACCACGTGTCTCTCACGTGGAGCTCATACTGACTCCGGGTCCGACCCGCGCTCCGACTCCGGGTTTATTCCTTTACACACTTAAAGTTAAAGTGAAAGTTTGTCCACGCGGCGCGTCCACCACGTGTTTGTGGACACGAGCTCAAATCTGCTCCGGGTCAGACCGGGACTCGAGTCTCCAGGCTTTAAGTCTGCGGGACATTTTGTGTGCGCGTGAGCTCCCTCTGGTGTTTGTCTAAAATGTTTCTTTCAGTTTCAGTGAAAAAGAAGAAAAAGGCGAAGAAGGTGCACGAGGACGATGTGGGGGTGAGTCACGTGACCCACGTGAAAAGAAACTAACTTTGTAGGAGCGTCGTGTAGTGGTGTCTTATTTTGTAGGAGTCATGCAGTGGTGTCTTATTTTGTAGGAGTCATGCAGTGGTGTCTTATTTTGTAGGAGTCATGCAGTGGTGTCTTATTTTGTAGGAGTCATGCAGTGGTGTCTTATTTTGTAGGAGATCCAGCAGAGCGCAGACTTCCTGATCAAACCTGAGTCCAAAGCTGCGACTCTGGACACGTCACAATGGCCCCTCCTACTCAAGGTACGAACACACACAGGTGTGTGACGTGTGTGTATGTGTGTATGGTCTATAGTTGTACAGTTTGTGTGTGTATATGTGTGTGTGTATAGTGTGTATATATGTGTGTATATTAGAGCCCGACCGATATGGATTTTGTTGTGGCTGATATGAAGCCGATATAATGGGAGTTGGAGCTGCCGATATAATCACCGATATATTTAGTGATGGAAAAATTGACTGTAAATCTTGAATTGATTAAAAAACTTAGGTTTGTCTCTGGTGGATTCTAAATTGGGTTTATTTAGGCAACATTTATTGTTATTTTGACTCTTTACATCATATTTACAGACAGTAGTTTGGCCTAACGGCATTTTTGCATCACATTCTAGACACTAGTGATGGGTATTCGTTTTTTTTTTTAGAGAACCGGCTCTTTTGGCTCGGCTCACTAAAGCAGTTGGCTCTTTCGGCTCCCAAGCGACTCTTGACATTGTTTTGTTGCAAGCAGGACTGAACCAGGACTGAACCAGGACTGAGTGTCGGGACTCGGTCTCTATCTCTCTCCTGCACTCGAGCCCAAGATTAGTTCTGGTTTATTCATTTTATGCTGAACTGCAGCCAAATATGCACTTTTTTTTTATCCTATGCACACGCAGATTTCTGAAAGTTTCGTTTTCAGCTGCTGCTGCTGTTAAACTACGGGTCGACATGCGGCATGAAGAGAAAAAAGTGGGAAAAAGAGAAAACACGGCTCCCAATAAGAAACATGCTCCTGTTGTTCGCTCTAAGAGCCGCTTCAATCACGACCCATAACTCCTGCTAGTAAATAAACTATCGCTATTAGCCTTTAGCCGTAAATGCTGCGCGCCGCGGTAGTTAATTATATGCATAAATGTGGATCATTCACACGTCTATTCACAGCTCATTTACATATCAATACTGGTCCAGTAACAAATATACGGCCAATACAGTCACTTTACAATAGACCAATAGAAAACAGCCTGTTTATGTGCAGAGCTACAGCAGCTAACCGCTAACAAAACCTAAACTAGCTTCAAAGTCGACATATTTCCAACACTCAGACTCACACAGGCTCCTCCCACATCACACAGGCTCCTCCCACATCACAAATCTGCTCTAATAAATGTCCTTTTAATCCAGACTCAAACCGATTGTCCGTAAAAAGAAAATAATCTCAGTGTTTGGATCTGTGTCTGCAGGTGTAAACAAACACACGTGAGTGAAGTGACGTGACTCTGTGGTGTGTTCAGGGACAGTACGACACACACAGACAAATGACTCCGTAGATAAATACTGATGTGGAGTCACATATGAGGACATTTATCTGACTGTAAATTGGATTAAATGAACAGAATGTAGAGAGTCTAAGCTTTATAACGAGGTGTAACATGCCCACGTGAAATATCGGCCCCTATCAGCAAGTATATCGGCCGATAGCCGATATGTCTCCAGGTGCTCATATTGGCCGATAAATCGGTCGGGCTCTAGTGTGTATAGTGTGTGTATGTGTGTGTATAGTGTATATATATTCTATAGTTGTATAGTGTGTGTGTGTGTATAGTTGTACAGTTTGTGTGTGTATAGTGTGTGTGTGTGTGTATGTGTGTATAGTGTAGTGTGTATATATTCTATAGTTGTACAGTTTGAGGAAACCTGAGCCTGTAGAACAGTTGAAACTGAACCGGTTTTAAAGTTGTGGTGAAACTCTGAGGTACATTTAGACCAGCGCCCCCTGCTGGAGTCTGTGAGGTGATGAACCTGTTTATCCATTCTCTGAGCTCTGATTGGTCGGCGCTCGTTGTCACGGCGTCGCTCCCGTTCTGGGGGCGGGGCCTGTCCGCGCGGCGTTCGCGTCTCTCGGCGTTCTGCCGGTGAGACGTTTGAGCGACGCGCGGGAAAAGCGAACGCTGCTGCCGACGGGGCGGGGACGAGGAGATGGGGCTGATCACAGATTACTGCAGTACTGCAAATACTACTACAAATACTACTGCAATAGCTACTGTAGTACTAGAAATACTACACTGCTACAAATACTATTATAGTGCTACAAATACTGCTGATTATACTATAGTACTATAAATACTACTGCAGTACTGGGGGCCAGGACTGATCAGACATACTTAAAGTACAAATACTGTAAATATTGTACTGCAGTACTGTAGTACTTGAGACTCCAGATCTGATCACATTTTAAAATGAATTATTTTATTTTGTAGAATTTCGACAAACTGAACATCAGAACGAGTCACTACACGCCCCTGCCCAACGGCAGCAACCCCCTGAAGAGGAACATCCACGACTACGTCAGGTACTACGACTACGACTACTACGACATCCACGACTTGGTGTCTGGTCTTTGTCTTTGGTTCTGACCCGGTGTTGTGCCTCAGGTCAGGCTTTATAAACCTGGACAAACCGGCGAACCCGTCGTCTCACGAGGTGGTGGCCTGGATCCGGAGGATTCTGCGCGTGGAGAAAACGGGTCACAGCGGAACCCTCGACCCGAAAGTCACGGGCTGCCTCATCGTGTGTGTGGACCGAGCCACACGACTCGTCAAGAGCCAACAGAGCGCAGGTACATGCACACACACGACACGACGTGCACGCTGCACACACACGACGCACACGACGCACACACACACGACGTGCACGCTGCACACACACGACGTGCACGCTGCACACACACACGACGTGCACGCTGCACACACACGACGTGCACGCACACACACGACGTGCACGCTGCACACACACGACGTGCACGCTGCACACACACGACGCGCACACACGACGTGTACGCTGCACACACACGACGTGCACGCTGCACACACACACACGACGCACACACACACGACGTGCACGCTGCGCACACACGACGTGCACGCTGCACACACACACACGACGTGCACGCTGCACACACACACACGACGTGCACGCTGCACACACACGACGTGCACGCTGCACACGACACATGCACAGACGCACACACGACACATGCACAGACGCACACACACACGACACACGCACACACTGCCTCATCGTGTGTGTGGACTGAGACACAAGACAAGTCAAGAGCCAACAGAGCGCAGGCACACACAAGGCGCACACACACACGGCGCACACACACTGCCTCTCCACCGTCCCCTCACCGGTGTCACTCGTCTGTGTGGCCCCGCCCTTCTCCCAAGCTCCGCCCCCTGTGGGCCACAGTAACAAACAGCCAATCACTGCTCTGTTTCAGGTAAAGAGTATGTGGGCATCGTCCGGCTGCACAACGCCATCAGCTCCCAGCACGAGCTCGCCAAGGTACTACAAATACTGCCTGTACTACAAATACTGCCTGTACTACTACTGCCTGTACTACTACTGCCTGTACTACTACTGCCTGTACTACTACTGCCTGTACTACGACTGCCTGTACTACGACTGCCTGTACTACTACGACTGCCTGTACTACTACGACTGCCTGTACTACTACGACTGCCTGTACTACTACTACTACGGCTGCCTGTACTACTACGGCTGCCTGTACTACTACGGCTGCCTGTACTACTACGGCTGCCTGTACTACTACGGCTGCCTGTACTACTACTACTACTACGGCTGCCTGTACTACTACGGCTGCCTGTACTACTACTACGGCTGCCTGTACTACTACGGCTGCCTGTACTACTACGGCTGCCTGTACTACTACGGCTGCCTGTACTACTACGGCTGCCTGTACTACTACGGCTGCCTGTACTACTACGGCTGCCTGTACTACGGCTGCTGTACTACTACGGCTGCCTGTACTACTACGGCTGCCTGTACTACTACGGCTGCCTGTACTACTACGGCTGCCTGTACTACGGTGAGGCGGAGGAGCCGTAAATGCTGTAAATGTGATTGTGTATTTGCGTCAGATTTGATGGAGCTGAGAGTTTGAGCTCGTCAGCCGAGTGACTCTGGACTTTATTCTAAACCAGCGTCACTCAGGACTTTGAGATTCAGACATGTTTTTACTTTTGAAGCTGTTGCTTGGATTTTTCTTTTATCTAAAGTGTTAAAGCTTCATGTTTAATAGATTCTAAATTTGAAAACTCCTCAGTCGCAGAGTCGGCTGGGTGACGTTACACTTGACATGTTTTCTTTTATCTGGATGTTTTTGGGTTTTTTATCATTGGTTTTTCATAAAAATGAAATGAATGAATTGAGCATGACTCAAATAAAACAAACAAGTTTTGTGTGAAAATGCGTTTGAGTCGAGTCCCGCCTCCTGGATCAGAATCTGTCACCAAAAAAAACTTAAGCCGGAGTCAAAAGGACAAAATGTGGAAACGAAGTTTTCCAAAAGTGAGAACAGATCAGTAACAGATGAGTAAGAGTCACTGCCCCAGCGACAAAATACTTCAACACTTTTAAAACATGAATCATTTAAAAATGACAAAAGTTTAAGCCAAATCCTTCTGTTCGTTTTGCTCTGGAATTATGTAATTATGTTAAAATAAACTTACTTTTTTATTACTTTTTATTGAAATTAAACGTCTGATTATAAAATCACCCACAAATACGAGCTCCAAAGTACTAGAGGGACAAATACTACAAAAATACTGCATATAGTACTGCTACAGAGTACACATGTACACATGTACTGTGTTGTACTCTGCACCACAGTGTCTGCGCCGGTTCTGGTTCTACAGGGTTCAGTCCTGGACCTGATGATCTGAACCACGTACTCCACGTACTCCACGTACTACACGTACTACACGTACTACTATCAGAGTACTCTGAACACGTTCAGCCACAGTACACACACTATTCAGACTATACACACACTTGAGGTCACATGACTGTGAGCTCACAGCTGATTGGTTTAAACCTCGTGTTCTTCTTCTCTCAGGCCCTGGAGACTCTGACTGGAGCTCTGTTCCAGCGCCCCCCGCTGATCGCCGCCGTGAAGCGTCAGCTCCGAGTCAGGACCATCTACGAGAGCAAACTACTCGAGTACGACCCGGAGAAACGCCTCGGTCTGTACCTCCTCCTCCTCACTCCTCTCTCCTCTTCCTCATCTTCCTCACTCTTCATCTCTTCTTCTTCTTCGTGCAGGGATCTTCTGGGTGAGCTGTGAGGCGGGCACGTACATCAGGACGTTGTGTGTGCACGTGGGGCTGCTGCTGGGGGTGGGGGGGCAGATGCAGGAGCTCCGGAGGGTTCGCTCGGGCGTCCTGGGGGAGAAGGTGAGTCTGTGACCTCTGACCCAACCGACCTTTGACCCAGAGTGTTGAGTCTGGCCCCGGCTCTCGTCCGGACGCCGGTAATTAATCTCTGGAACAGGAAGTGCACGAGACCGAAGCGGCGCTCTGGACGCTCTGCGGTGACATCACTGCGGAGCGTTCTCATTGGACGCTGCCGTGTCTCTGCTGACATCACACGCCGCTTAAACGCAGTCAGGTCACGTTTGGAAATGGCGCCGAAACTTCCTCTGGGCTTTGGGCTCAGGTCGTGTTCGGCGTCGAGAGTCTGGAGACGAAATGTAGAAAAAATGAGTCAAAGTTTCACCGCACGAGTAACAGTGTGTTTGTGCATATGTCTGTAGGACTTGTAGTACTTGTAGTAATAGTACTTTTGTGTACTTCAGGATAACCTGGTGACGATGCACGACGTGCTGGACGCTCAGTGGCAGTTCGACCACAACAAAGACGAGTCGTACCTCAGACGAGTCATTTTCCCGCTCGAAAAACTCCTGACCTCACACAAACGCATCGTCATGAAGGACAGCGCCGTGAGTACCCCCCGAGAGGACACGGGCAGACGCACACACACAGAGACACACACACACGCAGACGCACACAGAGACAGACACACACGCGCACACACACAGAGACAGACACACACGCAGACACACACACACACAGAGACAGACACACACGCGCACACACACAGACAGACACACACGCAGACACACACACACACAGAGACAGACACACACGCGCACACACACAGAGACAGACACACACGCAGACACACACACACGCAGACACACACAGAGACAGACACACACGCGCACACACACAGAGACAGACACACACGCAGACACACACACACGCAGCACGCACACAGAGACACACAGAGACACGCACACACACAGAGACGCACACGCACACAGACACACACGCACGCACACACACAGAGACACACACGCACACAGAGACACGCACACACACAGAGACGCACACGCACACAGACAGACACACACACGCAGACAGACACACAGACGCACACGCACACAGACACACACACGCACACACACACGCACACGCACAGAGACAGAGACAGACACACACACGCAGACGCGCGCACGCAGACACACACACGGAGGAAGAGGAGTGATGAGGCTGGAGATGGTTTCGCATTTTCACTGAACTCTGTGATGTCATCATCTCTTGGCTGTCTGACCTCAAACCGACCAATCAAAGCAGACTCCGCCCACGCACTGTCCAATCAGAGCAGACTTCTGTGTTTTCATGTTTGCATTCACCTGGACGCACAAATCTAATGGGGCAAAGGTGATGATTGTGTGTGTGTGCGTTCAGGTGTGTGCGTGTTTGTGTGTGTTTGTGCGTTATGTGCGTCCAGTTTGTGCGTTCATGTGTGTGTTTGTGCGTTCATGTGTGTGTTTGTGCGTTCATGTGTGTGTGTGTTCACGTGTGTTTGTGTGTTCAGGTGTGTGTGTGTGTGTGTGTGTGTGTGTGTTCATGTGTGTGTGTGTGTTCATGTGTGTGTGTGTGTGTGTGTGTTCATGTGTGTGTTTGTGCGTCCAGGTGAATGCGATCTGTTACGGGGCGAAGGTGATGCTTCCTGGAGTCCTGAGGTACGAGGACGGAATCGAAGTGAATCAAGACGTCGTCATCATCACCACCAAAGGAGAGGCCATATGTACAGGTACTACAAATACTACTACTACTACTGCATGTACTACAGTACCACACACCACCAAAGGAGAGGCCATATGTACAGGTACTACAAATACTACTACTACTACTGCATGTACTACAGTACCACACACCACCAAAGGAGAGGCCATATGTACAGGTACTACTGCATATGCTATAATACTACTGTAGTACTAGTACACATATCAACCAAAAGAGCCTCCAGGTCCCATAGTGCTCAGGATTTGGTCTCTGGTCCTGGTCTGGTCCTGGTCCCACATGATGAGCTGATAGACTCATGAGCCTCTGGCCGTGCTGACCTCCATCTATCACCCGACTCTGATGGGACCTGGGGGACTCTGGGGGGGCCCTGGGGGGACTCTGGGGGGACTCTGGGGACTCTGGGGGGACTCTGGGGGGACTCTGGGGGGGCCATGTTCTCTGCAGAATGAGCCTCAGAGAAAAGTAAATTCTTAAATGTGCTCAGGTCAAGACAGTTTCACTTCATTAATTCTTTCATTTAATTCTTGCACATTTTCTTTAAAAACGACTTGAGAACTTTTCGCAGACTGTTTGACTGATGTGGATTTATTTTCCCCTCGTCTCTTTGACTCTGACGCTGTAAAGTTTCAGGAGGTGAAGTTTGAAGCTGCAGATGTTTCTTCTGTTTCAGCAGTGACTGTGCTTTGTTTAGACACATTTAGGACTGAAACGTGAGCTGTTTCACTCGTGTCGTGACTTGTGAGCACCGGCACCGTTGATAAATTGGTGTTTGTTTGTGTTTTTTCCCCCGGGTCGTTGACGCTGGAGTTTAACACTGAAGAACTGAAAGTCGGCTCCAAAAGGAGGTTTTAGATCAGGGGTGTCCAAACTTTTTTCATCAAGGGCCACATCTCTAAACAGACAAAGCAGAGGCTGAGTGAGGGGCCCGGGGGAGGGGCCCAACAGGGAATAACTGACACATGCAGGTTTAACATTTTAGTGTGAATAAAGTCTGGTTCATTCTAAGATCCTTAAAACCAAACACTAAATATTAAATATTCGCTTTATCAAGGCAGATTGTCAAAAAACTTGCAGTAAAAAAATAGTTTTTAAATGATGCAAGGTCATTTGGTGTCAATTCATTTGTTGGGCCAATTCACCTGGAAGTGTAAGGGCCAAGAAAAGTTTGTCTGAAGGCTGCATTTGGCCCACGGGCCATAGTTTGGACATGTCTGTTTTAGATTTTAGTACCAGGACTGAACAGTTTCAGTCAGTTTCTACTGAAAACCCAATTTTGGTCCCCAGCCCCAAGTGGCGCTCATGACCTGTGTGTGTTTTGTGTTCTGACAGTTGTTGTGTTGTGTTTTACAGCGGTGGCGCTCATGACCACGGCGGTCATCTCTTCGTGTGATCACGGCGTCGTGGCCAAAATCAAACGTGTGATTATGGAGCGAGACACTTACCCCAGGAAGTGGGGCCTGGGACCAAAGGTACACGTGTGTGTGTGTGTGTGTTTCTGTGTGCGTCTCCATGTGTTTGTGTGTCGGTCCTGGTCCTGGTCCCACATGATGAGCTGATAGACTCATGAGCCTCTGGCCGTGCTGACCTCCATCTATCACCCGACTCTGATGGGACCTGATGGGACCTGAGGGGACCTGAGGGGACCTGAGGGGACCTGAGGGACTAAACAGGCGTCTTGTTTCAGGCGAGTCAGAAGAAGATGATGATCCAGAAAGGTCTCCTGGACAAACACGGAAAACCCAATGGAAACACGCCGTCCGAGTGGAGCCACGAGCACCCGGAGTACAGGTGAGGTGCACCTGTCCCCCCCCCCCCCCCCCCCCCCCCCCCCCCCCCCCCAACTTGTTGTCCTCATGCAGATTTATCTGTGTAGCTGTTTGTCTGCACTAGTACTACTGCATATACTCCTACAGTTATCCTTGTGTAGTACTCGTAGTACTCGTAGTACTCGTAGTACTCGTAGTACTCGTACTCGTAGTCATGCAGACAGTTATCCCTGGTCGGGCTGTGGTGCTCTTTCAGGGAGTCGATCTGCGACAGAAAAACTCTGAGACACGGAGTGAGGTCACTGTGACCACGCCCCCTCTCTGCTGAGGACACGCCCCCTCACCTGTCAGGGGTCACCTGTGGTTTGTTCCTGTGTGTAATCTGCCCTTTGTCCTGTGTTTCAGTGTGAAGTCGGAGCCCGAGACCCCGGCCAAGGTCAGTCTGACCCCCCCCCCCCCCCCCTCCTCAGCCTGACCCCCCCCCCCCCCCCGAGCCTGACCCTGACCCCTGTGCTCGTCTTTCAGAGAAAACGTGACGACAGTGACTCAGACGCCGTGGAGACGCCCGCCACCGCCGCCGGAGACACAGAGACGAAGAAAGAAAAGAAGAAAAAGAAAAAAGAGAAAAAGATCAAAGTGGAGGAGGCGGAGCCAGAGGAGGGCGTGGCTACAGAGGAAACGGAGGCGCCCGAGGTGAGACCTGTGACCTCTGACCCCTGTAGTGCACGCACGCACGCACACACACACACACACACACACACACACACACACACACACACAGAGGAGTGATGAGGCTGGAGATGGTTTCGCATTTTCACTGAACTCTGTGATGTCATCATCTCTTGGCTGTCTGACCTCAGAACGACCAATCAGAGCAGACTCCGCCCACGCACTGTCCAATCAGAGCAGGCAATGTCATTGGATTTGGCCGTGGTTCACACTGAGCCTCGCGTGTGATTGGCCAAATCTGAAGTGTAAATATTTAACCCGACCCTGAAGGTTAAAGGTCACAGACGTTCGACGTCTGAGTCACGCCGCCGTCGAAATGAGCGACCTGACGGTTTTTGTTTAGCGCGAGTGCGCGCACACATCGTCCAATCAGAGCTGACCTGAGGTTTGTGTTTTTCAGGTGAAAAAGAAGAAGAAAAAGAAGAAACAGGAAGTGGACGGCTCAGAGTGAGAGCAGAGGATGATGGGAAACTGAACTGAAACTGAGTCTGGACTTTATTTTTGTAAAAAAAGTGTTTTTGTAAATATTTTATTTCTGAATAAACTTTTTATTTGTATCGATCTGAAGTCTGACCAGTGAGTGTTCTGAGTCAGGTCTGTGGAGAGGTGAACCCCGTCACAGGAGGGTTTGAGGGTCGGGCGCGCACACACACACACCCACACACTCTACATACACACACACACACACACATACACACACACACACACAATACATACACACACACAGACACACACACACACACACACACAGACGTCTAAACGAGGGCCTCAAACCAACAGGAAAATGGAACTTGAGTCAAAAGTCCTAAATGTAAAATGTGGTTTTGATGGAGCGAGACGCTAACAGGAGGCACACACGAGTCTGAACAGGAAACGTTTGGTCTCATTCTTTAGTTTGGCACAGAAACATGGCACAAAAAACAAGATCAAATAAAAATATAAAAATTCACTTTCAATATTTTACGAGGAGACGAGACGTCACAGGCATTTAAATAAACGGATAAATACTTAAATATTTCATAAATATTTCTGAACATGTTTGAGGTGTCACACTGAAAAACGTCCCGTTGGAGTTTTGTTTGGACGCTGTGGAAAAGTCCAGTCTGGCGGGCGCAGGCGGCACCCGTCTCTGTGCTCGGGGGGTCAGGGGTCAAAGAGCCCGACGCTTGATCTTTACTTGATGTTCTTGAGCAGACTGGTCCTGGCGTTGACCACGGCCTTAAACGCGTCTTCACTTCCTGGAGCCACACATTTGTCCGGATGCAGCAGCACGGCCAACTTCCTGTACGCTTTGTTCACTTCCTCCCTGCACAGGAAGTACAGCCGTCACTCACTCCTTCACTGTTACGATTATTTCTCTTATTTGTACATGTGATTATTTACATTTATAAATGTGATTATTTTATATCTGTACAGCTGCTTTGGACTTTTATGTTCACAAATAAAAAACTTTTAAAGCAACAAGTTTAAAGAACAGATGAAACCCAGAGCTGCTGTGGAGCGCCCTCAGGTGGACACTGACCTGTACTACACCAGTTTATTCGCCTCAAAACACATTTAAACGATGAGGCTTGAAGTAAACGTAACAACAGTTTAGTGTCACCTGTGTTTAAGTTTTAGTTTAAATTTCTTTATGCCCAATATAAATATTTATTTTGTGTTTCCTGTTTCTGTTTAAACTCACACACGAAGAGCAGGAAACTGTGAAACTGAACTTTATTGTGAAGGAATGCTCTGTTTTATTGTGAAAGGGCCTGACCTGGTGGCGCCGGGCTTGACCCCGAGCATGTCCCATGAGTCTTTGCTGTTGCGGATGCGGCGGATGGTGTCGGCCTGTTCCTTTGTGAATCCGGCGGTGCTTTCGGACACGGGACGCTTCCCGCCGTTTTCACACATGTCCACGATGGACGAGAAGAACGACTGAAACGAGAACGAGAAATAACAGGATACGCAAATGTTATACAGTAAATAATAGAATAAATAATATACACAAATATTTGAACAAATAATAAACAAATATGGAAGTTGGAACCAAATCTGAACGTGAGCTCTGGACAACGGGAGACACACGGGAGGGCATCTGACACACGGGGGACAGGGGAGCGTTACCACGGCGACGGGGGAGTTACAGGTCAGTACCTGGAACATCTCGCTGATGCCCTCTCCGCTCTGCGCCGACGTCTCAAAATAATGAAAACCTCTGGACTCGGCCCAAAGTCGCCCCTCCCCCTCGTCCACCACCCGCCGCTTCGACAGGTCCACCTGCAACACAAGAGTTCAGAGGTCACCCGCCGCTCCGACAGGTCCACCACCCGCCGCTCCAACACCTGTGGAAAACCTGAATCCCTCACACCTGTGGAGAACACAGAACCTGTTTTTAACCAATGAACTGAGAGACTGAGGCACGAGCCACACGGCGGGAGAAAGTGTGGGAAGGAGACACGATGTTCTCCATGTCAGGGTCGAGGGTCGGGGGTCAGGGGTCGGGGGTCGTACCTTGTTGGCGCACACACTGAACACGATGTTCTCCGTGTTGGTGCTGGAGCCCATCTCCTGCTTCATTTCCCCGAGCCACGAATCCAGCGCCTCGAAACTCTCCCTGAGCCCGACGTCGTACACGAGCAGCACGCCCTGAGAGTCTTTATAGAACTCATTACGCACCTGAAGAACACACAGGTTACTCCAGATGCCCTCCCGTCACACGCACACACCTCTGACCCCCGTTACTCCAGATGCCCTCCCGTGAGTGTTGTGTTCAGTCTTGTGGCCTGTTGTTACATTTTGTGGTCACCAGATGGAGCTCTTTCCTTTTTAATACATTAGTGTGAAACTGACGCTGAGGAAACTTTAACCACTGAGTTAGTCCTCCTGTGTGTCAGGTGCCCCCCCCCCCCCGTGTGTCAGGTGCCCCCCCGTAAAACATTAAAGCTGCTCTTTACAAACTTGTAGATGTTTCTCTGTAGACGAAGCTCTGACCCACGGCCTCGTGTCAGAAGGATCAATAGTAAGAGCTGCTCGAGTATCAATAGCATCAATAGTAGCAGTAAAGTAGAAGTAGTAAAGTTGAAGTATTTGTATGAAACACTGACCTCGTAGAAGAAGGGGTGTCCGGCCATGTCGAAAATATTCACTTTAATCTCTCGGTCCCTCACCTGGACTCTGCCAAACAACAGGACAGTGTTAGTCCCGGTCCAGTCCCGGTCCAGTCCCGGTCCAGTCCCGGCCCAGTCCCGGCCCAGTCCCGGTCCAGTCCCGGTCCAGTCCCGGCCCAGTCCTCACTTGGTGACGCCGTAGTCGATGCCGATGGTTGCCAGGTATTTGGGCACAAACCTCTTCTCACAGTAACGTTTTATGATGCAGCTCTGCACAAACACACGTCACATTTACACATGATTATAGAAGAAATATACAACAAATACACAATCCACACATAAAAACATAACAAATATAAAACATAACAAACATATAACATGTATAAACGTGTAAAATCACTTTAAACTCACAGTATAAACATATATAAATACATCGCCTCTAGAGGACAGACTGTACACGGTGCACTCCACTGTTTACAGTCTGTATTGTAGATTAAATAAGTGATAATAACATGTATAAATATAAATGTGTGGTTCGAACACAAGTGTTGAGGCTCGTACCTTTCCCACCTCCGCGTTCCCGAGGCTGATCACTTTGACACGCAGAGATTTCTTTGCTTCTCTGCGCTTCGTGGCCGCGGGCTCCATGTTTCATTCAACACTTTAAAATCACGACAACAAAATCACAACAAAATCACAAAATCACAACAAACCTGCGCGTCCAGAATCTGGGTTAATGCTAATGCTAATGCTAACTACGCTCACGAGCCCCGCGGACCCGGATCAAAGTCTAAACGTGTAGATCTGTGCTTTAACTCAGAGCCAGGGGCCCAGGGGCCCGGGGTCCCAGGGGTCCGGGGTCCGGGTTCCGGGTTTTTCTGGATCAAACTCGCGGCTGAGTCTCAGGACCGCTACTGCTAATATGCTAATGTTTTTAGCCGCATTGTTGTTACGCTGAAATACGTCCCCACAAAATGTGTTCCTACAAAATGTGTTCCCCCTCAACATATATATATATATATATATATATATATATATATATATATATATATATATATATATATATATATATATATATATATATATATATATTATATATATTTATTATTATTTTTTTTATTTTATTTTATTAATTTTTTTTTTTTCAAGTCTGGACTTTCTATCCAGGCCCGAGCGCCGGAGGCTGACGAAGGCAAAGCGATGCTCCAAGTGGCCGAAAAATTAAATGGTGCGACGTGACTCGACCGTAGTGACCAGGGACCCTCGCCATGACGTAGCAATGCGCCAGAAGTTTCCGAAAATGTTTAGTTTGTCGGCCAAAAAAAGCGATCATTCTCGATCGTTCTCGTATCAGAATTATTCTTATTATATTATTATAATTATTCTTTCTTTCTTATTATTATTTTTCTTCTAACCAATTCACCCATTTTTCACCCACTAAACAATAATAAAAAGTCCTGGAAATTGTTCTGGTAAAATCTGGTAAAACTCGCGCTTCTCTAAGTTTTGACTATTTCCATTTTCCAAACAGAAATAAAATGGTTCAGCCCCAAACGACTCAAAAATGCATTAGGGAATACGAATGACACACAAAAATTTGCATGTACAATCATGAAATTTGACACAGAAGTCGATCATGTCAAGACAAGGAAAAAATATTATTACACCAACACCGCGCGCTCCACTAGGGGGCAGTAATATTGGCTTAAAGTTTGCAAAGCTTTTACAAACTCCTCCGAGGGCGTTCGCCCGAGCGACCTCAAATCTGGTCCACATTATCTCAAGACGTAGAACATCAAAACTTATCCACATTTTTCACACACGTCTAAACCAGGTCTAAACCAGGTCTAAACCAGGTCTAAACCAGGTCTAAACCAGGTCTAAACCAGGTCTAAACCAGGTCTAAACCAGGTCTAAACCAGGTCTAAACCAGGTCTAAAACCAAGTCTAAACCAGGTCTAAACCAGGTCTAAACCAGGTCTAAACCAGGTCTAAACCAGGTCTAAACCAGTCTAAACCAGGTCTAAACCAGGTCTAAACCAGGTCTAAACCAGGTCTAAACCAGGTCTAAACCAGGTCTAAACCAGAGTCTGTAAAAACCCCACACACCACAGGATTTAGGCCCAGATTCGATTCTCTCAGAGTTTCCAGACAAGGCCAGATCCGACTTTGGGTGTGATTTAGTTTTTTCAATAACTAGATTTAGAAATGATGAAATGTTGAGCTCAGGGTTATTAGGGTCAGTGTGACACTATATTTATATTTATATTTAACACGAGAAGATACAAATAAATACTATATTTAAGGAGTGAAGTAAGTCAAATAAAAAGGTTTTATCTGTAAATATAAAATAAAGATGTGGTTCACAGACGTTACACTGGTTTTTACTCGTTTCTGATTATTTTGAGCAGATTTAAAGGAACGACAAGAGTCATGATTCATATTTTTATTGAGTAAAATCTAAAACACATTTTTAAAAAGATCTTTAAAAAGAACAAGTTAAAGCTTTGAAAAAGTGATTCTCAGGAAAAAACAGAGCTCAGTTTCACATGAGTTTTAAAATGATCACCTCAATCGTTTGTGTTTATCTGATTTCATGAACATTTGGACAAAGTATTTGTGAATCTGAGCCCTGGTGAAGGACTGTTGAAGCTTTTCTCAGAATTATTATAAAAAAATAAAAAAAAGTCAATGTGGATCAAAACAAGAAGCAAAACCATAAACTGTGTAAGACACATCCTGCTCGTGTGCCGGGATCTACAGTTCTACATCAGCCTACATCAGTCTACATTAGTCTACATCAGTCTACATCAGCCTACATCAGTCTACATCAGTCTACATCAGTCTACATCAGCCTACATCAGCAGTCTACATCAGTCTACATCAGCCTACATCAGCCTACATCAGTCTACATCAGTCTACATCAGCCTACATCAGCCTACATCAGCCTACATCAGCCTACATCAGTCTACATCAGTCTACATCAGTCTACATCAGCCTACATCAGTCTACATCAGTCTACATCAGCCTACATCAGTCTACATCAGTCTACATCAGCCTACATCAGTCTACATCAGTCTACATCAGCCTACATCAGTCTACATCAGTCTACATCAGTCTACATTAGTCTACATCAGCCTACATTAGTCTACATCAGTCTACATCAGCCTACATCAGTCTACATCAGTCTACATCAGTCTACATCAGTCTACATCAGTCTACATCAGTCTACATCAGCCTACATCAGTCTACATCAGTCTACATTAGTCTACATCAGCCTACATCAGCCTACATCAGTCTACATCAGTCTACATTAGTCTACATCAGTCTACATCAGTCTACATTAGTCTACATAAACTCGGACACCGTCAGTAAAAGTGTAAATGTGTAATTTTCTCAGAAACGCTGCTGCCCCCGCAGGCCTAAAGAAGCGCTGGACTGTAATGGCCTGCGGTGGCCTGCGGTGGCCTGCGGTGGCCTGCGGTGGCCTGCGGTGGCCTGCGGTGGCCTGCGGTGGCCTGCGGTGGCCTGCGGTGGCGCCGTAGAGCGGCTCAGTGTCCCGGGCGCAGGGAGTCGTACGTGTCTCTGGTGGCGGCGCTCAGACCCTGAAAGACAAACAAAGACTTGAGCTGCTCTCAACACACACTGTGATTTATTCATATTTCATAGATTCATGTGTGAACGTTTCATCAGGAGCATCAGATTTTACTCAAGTAAAAGTCATAAAATAATAATAATAAATAATGGAAATATGTTCATCCAAAGTGTAAAAAAATGTATTTTAATCATGTTTTTCCAACACAAAGGTGAGGAATATAAAGTACAGCGAGTCAGTACTAAACTCCAGTCTCCAGTTGTTTTGGTGAAATTTGAGCCGTGAGAAAAAGGTGCAAATGTCTGGACCGGAGCAGAACGTGTGTGTGTGTGTGTGTGTGTGTGTGTGTTGTGTGTGTGTGTGTGTGTGTGTGTGTGTGTGCGGTTTGACAAACTCAAAATAACGAAAATGAGGAAATGTTTTTGTTGATTCAAAAGAAAAGAGAAGATTTGTGAAGCTGATTTTACCTGATAAACCTGCTCATTCTTCCTCTGCCTCTGCTGAGAAAACACACACACGATCAGTCAGGAGTAACACACACACACACACACACACACACACAAACACACACACACACACAAACACACAAACACACTTAATTTAAATGTGATTAAAAGTGTTTAAAATTGATTGAATGTGTTTAAGAGTGTTCAAATGTGTTTCAATGTTATTAAATGTGATTAAAATAGATTAAAAGTGATTAAATGAGATTAAATGTGATTAAAAGTGTTGAAATGTGATTAAAAGTGTTGAAATGTGATTAAAAGTGTTGAAATGTGATTAAAAGTGGTACCTCTCGTCTGGGCAGCTCTCTGTACTCACTGTCCTCTCTGTTGGTGTTCAAACCCTGAGTTCAGAAGAAAACAACAAAACCAAACAAGTGTTTCAAAATAAAAACTCTTTTTAGATTTAAGATTTAAATAAAATAATAATAATTATAGCCACAGCTGCCCTGAGCCGTTTTTCTCTTTGGAGAATTATGAATAATTAAAACACAAATGAGAAACTAAAAGACGAATAGAAATGTTCCCGGGTCAGTTCAACGAAAACACCCAGAACCAAAAGTCTAAACTGTGACGTCCCAACAGAGTGAGGTCCACACGGGGGTGAGGTCAGGGTGAGGTCAGGGTGAGGTCAGGGTGAGGTCAGGGTGAGGTCATGGTGAGGTCAGGGTGAGGTCAGGGTGAGGTCAGGGAGGTCAGGGAGGTCAGGGTGAGGTCAGGGTGAGGTCAGGTGAGGTCAGGTGAGGTCAGGGTGAGGTCAGGTGAGGTCAGGGAGGTCAGGGTGGGTGAGGTCAGGTGAGGTCAGAGGTCAGGGTGAGGTCAGGGTGAGGTCAGGGTGAGGTCAGGGTGAGGTCAGGGTGAGGTCAGAGTGAGGTCAGGGTGAGGTCAGGGTGAGGTCAGGGTGAGGTCAGGTGAGGTCATGGTGAGGTCAGGGTGAGGTCAGGGTGAGGTCAGGGTGAGGTCAGGGTGAGGTCATGGTGAGGTCAGGGTGAGGTCAGGGTGAGGTCAGGGTGAGGTCAGGGTGAGGTCAGGGTGAGGTCAGAGTGAGGTCAGGGTGAGGTCATGGTGAGGTCAGGGTGTTACCGTGTACAAAGAGTCGCTGTGGTCCGCAGCCGGAGCCTGAAAAACACAAAATGAACTCAAATCAAAGTGACGCAATGTTTTACACTGCAAGTCTCCTTCAAGTCTGACCTGAGTCTGAGTCTGACCTGAGTCTGAGTCTGACCTGAGTCTGAGTCTGAAAAACTGTTGTAAAACTTGTCAATCTGTAAAAACAGAATCTGCGGTGAAGAAACGTCAGAAAGATTTTTACACTGAGTTTATTTCTGTAAAAACTCAGAGTGTTTCAGCAGGACAGAGGTCAGTGGTCAAAGGTCAGAGAGCGAGGTCACACTTTTTCCACACCCACTGAACTGGAGCCAGACTCCGTGGAGCCTAAACTCGCCCGTGATCACTTCCTGTTTGTTTTGTTCAGGTCTAAAGGAAAAACTCACCTGATTTTCTTTCCGAAGTCTGAGCCCCGCGTATCCACCGGACTCCTGATCCCTGTTCAGAGTCTGAACGCACAAAGCACATGACGCACAACGCACACGACGCACAACGCACACGACGCACAACGCACACGACGCACAACGCACACGACGCACAACGCACACAACACACAAGGCACACGACGCACAATGCACATGACGCACAACGACGCACAACGCACACACGACACACAACGCACACGACGCGCACATGCACATGACGCACACGACGCACACGACACAACGACGCACAACGCACACGACACACAACGCACACGACGCGCAACGCACACGACGCACATGACGCACAACGCACACGACACACAATGCACACGAAGCACAACGCACACGACGCACAACGCACACGACGCACACGACGCACAAAGACGCACAACGCACAGGACGCACAACACACGACACACACAGACACAACACACACAACATACATATACACAGAGATCATTATTGTCCTCATATTACAGTCAAATCATATTATTAAACATGATTAAAGATGATTAAAGATGATTAAACATAATTAAACATGATTAAACATAATTAAACATAATTAAACATAATTAAACATGATTAAACATAATTAATCATGATTAAACGTAATTAAACATGATTAAAGATGATTAAACATGATTAAACGTAATTAAACACGATTAAACATAATTAAAGATGATTAAATAAAAGTACGATGTGAAAGAGACTCAGGTTGATGTGAGACTCACCGTGTAAAGTGACTCGTCAGACTTCACTTTCCCTCTGAAAAACTAACACACACACAACACATGAACACAACCACACACCAGTAAACGCACAACTGTGTGTGTGTGTGTGTAAAAAAACTAACACACACCAACACCTGAACACAACAAACTAGCAAACGCACAACTGTGTGTGTAGTTGTATATTTGTGTATAGTTGTGTAGTTGGGTGTAGTTGTGTAGTGTGTGTGTGTGTGTGTATAGTTGTGTGTAATTGTTAAGTTGCGTACCTTCTCCCGCACACACAGCGCAGTGATGAAGACTCCGTGTGTGTTTAGTTGTGTAGTGTGTGTGTAGTTGTGTACTTGTGTATAGTTGTGTACCTTCTTGCGCAAGGCGGTGATGAAGAGTCTGTATGTGTATAGTTGTGTTGTGTGTGTGTGTAGTTGTGTGTGTATAGTTGTGTGTGTGTGTGTATAGTTGTGTGTGTGTGTATAGTGTGTGTGTAGTTGTGTGTGTGTGTGTGTGTGTAGTGTGTGTGTGTGTATAGTTGTGTGTATAATTGTGTGTGTGTGTAGTTGTGTGTGTGTATAGTTGTGTGTGTATAGTTGTGTGTGTATAGTTGTGTGTATAGTGTGTGTGTGTATAGTGAGTGTGTGTGTAGTTGTGTGTGTGTGTGTAGTTGTGTGTATAGTGTGTGTGTGTGTAGTTGTGTGTGTGTATAGTTGTGTGTGTAGTGTTGTGTGTGTAGTTGTGTGTGTGTGTATAGTGTGTGTGTATTTGTGTGTCTGTGTGTGTAGTTGTGTGTGTGTGTGTAGTTGTGTGTGTGTGTGTGTGTAGTTGTGTGTGTGTGTGTGTGTGTGTGTGTGTGTGTAGTTGTGTGTGTGTGTGTGTGTGTGTGTGTGTGTAGTTGTGTGTGTGTGTAGTTGTGTGTGTGTGTGTGTGTAGTTGTGTGTGTGTGTGTGTAGTTGTGTGTGTGTGTGTGTGTGTGTGTGTGTAGTTGTGTGTGTGTGTGTAGTTGTGTGTGTGTGTGTGTGTGTGTGTGTAGTGTGTGTGTGTGTTGTGTGTGTGTGTGTGTGTGTGTGTGTGTGTAGTTGTGTGTGTGTGTGTAGTTGTGTGTGTGTGTGTGTGTGTGTGTGTGTGTTGTGTGTGTGTGTGTGTGTGTGTAGTTGTGTGTGTGTGTAGTTGTGTGTGTGTGTAGTTGTGTGTGTGTAGTTGTGTGTGTGTGTAGTTGTGTGTGTGTGTGTAGTTGTGTGTGTGTGTGTAGTTGTGTGTGTGTGTGTGTAGTTGTGTGTGTGTGTGTAGTTGTGTGTGTGTGTGTAGTTGTGTGTGTGTGTGTAGTTGTGTGTGTGTGTGTGTGTGTGTAGTTGTGTGTGTGTGTGTGTGTGTGTGTGTAGTTGTGTGTGTGTGTGTGTGTGTGTAGTTGTGTGTGTGTGTGTGTGTGTAGTTGTGTGTGTGTGTGTGTGTGTAGTTGTGTGTGTGTGTGTGTGTGTGTGTGTAGTTGTGTGTGTGTAGTTGTGTGTGTGTGTGTAGTTGTGTGTGTGTGTGTAGTTGTGTGTGTGTGTGTGTGTGTGTGTGTGTGTGTGTAGTTGTGTGTGTGTGTAGTTGTGTGTGTGTGTGTAGTTGTGTGTGTGTGTGTAGTTGTGTGTGTGTGTGTGTGTGTGTGTAGTTGTGTGTGTGTGTGTGTGTAGTTGTGTGTGTGTGTGTGTGTGTGTGTGTAGTTGTGTGTGTGTGTGTGTTGTGTGTGTGTGTGTGTGTGTGTGTGTGTGTAGTTGTGTGTGTGTGTAGTTGTGTGTGTGTGTGTGTGTGTAGTTGTGTGTGTGTGTGTGTTGTAGTTGTGTGTGTGTGTGTGTGTGTGTGTGTGTGTGTGTGTGTGTGTGTGTTGTGTGTGTGTGTGTGTGTAGTTGTGTGTGTGTGTGTGTAGTTGTGTGTGTGTAGTTGTGTGTGTGTGTGTGTGTGTAGTTGTGTGTGTGTGTGTGTGTGTGTGTGTGTGTGTAGTTGTGTGTGTGTGTGTGTGTGTGTGTGTGTAGTTGTGTGTGTGTGTGTTGTGTGTGTGTGTGTGTGTGTGTAGTTGTGTGTGTGTGTGTGTGTGTGTGTGTGTGTGTGTGTGTGTGTGTAGTTGTGTGTGTGTGTGTGTGTGTGTGTGTGTAGTTGTGTGTGTGTGTGTGTGTGTGTGTGTGTAGTTGTGTGTGTGTGTGTGTGTGTAGTTGTGTGTGTGTGTGTGTGTTGTGTGTGTGTGTGTGTGTGTGTGTGTGTGTGTAGTTGTGTGTGTGTGTGTGTGTGTGTAGTTGTGTGTGTGTGTAGTTGTGTGTGTGTGTGTGTGTGTGTGTGTGTGTGTGTAGTTGTGTGTGTGTGTGTGTGTGTAGTTGTGTGTGTGTGTGTGTGTGTTGTGTGTGTGTGTGTGTGTGTGTGTGTGTGTGGTGTGTGTGTGTGTGTGTGTGTGTGTAGTGTGTGTGTGTGTGTGTGTGTGTGTGTGTGTGTGTGTGTGTGTGTAGTTGTGTGTGTGTGTGTTGTGTGTGTGTAGTTGTGTGTGTGTGTGTGTGTGTGTGTGTGTGTGTGTGTGTGTGTGTGTAGTTGTGTGTGTGTGTGTGTGTAGTTGTGTGTGTGTGTAGTTGTGTGTGTGTGTGTGTGTGTGTGTAGTTGTGTGTGTGTGTAGTTGTGTGTGTGTGTGTGTGTGTGAGTTGTGTGTGTTGTGTAGTTGTGTGTGTGTGTTGTGTGTGTGAGTTGTGTGTGTGTGTGTGTGTGTGTGTGTGTGTAGTTGTGTGTGTGTGTGTGTGTAGTTGTGTGTGTGTGTAGTTGTGTGTGTGTGTGTGTGTGTGTAGTTGTGTGTGTGTGTGTGTGTGTGTGTGTAGTTGTGTGTGTGTGTGTGTGTGTGTGAGTTGTGTGTGTGTGTGTAGTGTGTGTGTGTGTAGTTGTGTGTGTGTGTGTGTGTGTGTGTGTGTGTAGTTGTGTGTGTGTGTGTGGTTGTGTGTAGTTGTGTGTGTGTGTGTAGTTGTGTGTGTGTGTGTAGTGTGTGTGTGTTGTGTGTGTGTGTAGTGTGTGTGTGTGTGTGTGTGTGTGTGAGTTGTGTGTGTGTGTGTGTGTGTGTGTGTGTGTGTGTGTGTGTGTGTAGTTGTGTGTGTGTGTGTGTGTTGTGTGTGTGTGTGTGTGTGTGTGTGTGTGTGTGTGTGTGTGTGTGTGTGTGTGTAGTGTGTGTGTGTGTGTGTGTGTGTAGTTGTGTGTGTGTGTGTGTGTGTAGTTGTGTGTGTGTGTGTGTGTGTGTGTGTGTGTGTGTGTGTGTAGTTGTGTGTGTGTGTGTGTGTGTGTAGTTGTGTGTGTGTGTGTGTGTGTGTTGTGTGTGTGTGTAGTTGTGTGTGTGTGAGTTGTGTGTGTGTGTGTGTGAGTTGTGTGTGTGTGTAGTTGTGTGTGTGTGTGTGTGTGTGTGTGTGTGTGTGTGTGTGTGTGTGTGTGTGTGTGTGTGTGTGTGTGTGTGTGTGTGTGTGTGTGTGTGTGTAGTTGTGTGTGTGTGTGTAGTTGTGTGTGTGTGTGTGTTGTGTGTGTGTGTGTGTGTGTGTGTGTGTGTGTGTGTGTGTGTGTGTGTAGTGTGTGTGTGTGTGTAGTTGTGTGTGTGTGTGTGTGTGTGTGTGTGTGTGTAGTTGTGTGTGTGTGTGTGTGTAGTTGTGTGTGTGTGTGTTGTGTGTGTGTGTGTGTGTGTGTAGTTGTGTGTGTGTGTGTTGTGTGTGTGTGTGTAGTTGTGTGTGTGTGTGTGTGTGTGTGTGTTGTGTGTGTGTTGTGTGTGTGTAGTTGTGTGTGTGTTGTGTAGTTGTGTGTGTGTGTAGTTGTGTGTGTGTGTGTGTGTGTGTGTGTGTGTGTGTGTGTGTGTGTGTGTGTGTGTGTGTGTGTGTGTTGTGTGTGTGTGTGTGTGTGTGTGTGTGTGTGTGTGTGTGTGTAGTTGTGTGTGTGTGTAGTTGTGTGTGTGTGTGTTTGTGTGTGTGTGTGTGTGTGTGTGTAGTTGTGTGTGTGTGTTGTGTGTGTGTGTGTAGTTGTGTGTGTGTGTGTGTGTGTGTTGTGTGTGTGTGTGTGTGTAGTTGTGTGTGTGTGTGTGTGTGTGTGTAGTTGTGTGTGTGTGTGTTGTGTGTGTGTGTTGTGTGTGTGTGTGTGTGTGTGTGTGTGTGTGTGTGTAGTTGTGTGTGTGTAGTTGTGTGTGTGTGTGTGTGTGTGTTAGTTGTGTGTGTGTGTGTGTGTGTGTGTGTGTGTGTGTGTGTAGTTGTGTGTGTGTGTGTGTGTGTGTGTGTGTGTGTGTGTGTGTGTGTGTGTGTGTGTGTGTGTGTGTGTGTGTGTGTGTGTGTGTGTGTGTGTGTCGTGTGTGTGTGTGTGTGTTGTGTGTGTGTGTGTGTGTGTGTGTGTGTGTGTGTGTGTGTGTGTAGTGTGTGTGTGTGTGTGTGTGTGTGTGTGTGTGTGTGTGTGTGTGTGTGTGTACCTTCTCGCGCACAAACATGGCGGTGATGAAAAGTCCGTAAACGGCCAAAACGCCGTCGAGGATGAAGCAGAGTTTAGGGTCGTACAAGGTCAAAGCATCTGAGGTCAGAGGTCAGAGGTCACACAAACATGAACCAGAACCAGGACTAAACCAGGACTAAACCAGGACTAAACCAGGTCTAAACCAGGTCTAAACCAGGACTAAACCAGGACTAAACCAGGACTAAAGCAGGACTAAACCAGGACTAAAGCAGGACTAAACCAGGTCTAAACCAGGTCTAAACCAGGACTAAACCAGGACTAAACCAGGTCTAAACCAGGACTAAACCAGGACTAAACCAGGACTAAACCAGGTCTCAGTCTGTACCTGCCGACAGGGGCATGGAGCAGAGGAGGAGCAGGAGCACACGGGGCCTTTGCATTGTCGCCACAGCAGCACAAGTACTACAAAAGTACTACAAAAGTACTAAAAAAGTACTACAAAAGTACGACAAAAGTGCAGTTTGTTGAAGTTTCCTGAAGTCGTCCTCCAGGAGCTGAACAAAAAGAAGAAGAGAAGATTTTAATCACACGATGAAACCAAATGTGAACGAGGAGAAGCTGCGCAGAAAGACGACGACGAAACACGAGGAAAAACTTCATCTGTGACCAGACTCACGTGTGACGAGGTTCTGGTCCTTCTGTCCTGGGTCTGGGTTCTTCTCTGGGTTCTTCTCTTCGTTCCTCTTGCGTCGTGTCTTTGTCTCTTCTGAAGATGAGGCAGTTTTTGGTGAAATGGAGGAAACAGGAAGTGAAACAGGAAGTGGTGAGTCTGGGGCAGGTGTTGAAACCAGAGCAACAAACAACATCTCAAACTCAAACCCAGACGCACAACTCACACAATACAACTCCACACAATACAACTCCACACAATACAACTCCACACAACACAACTCCACACAACACACAACACACAACTGAACTAAACTCACCTGCACATCGTCTCTGACTCTGCTCTTGAGCTCGGTCGTTGGTTTCGGGTGAAGCCCAATTTATGGTTGTGTGTCAAATCGTCTGCGTCGCCGTGAACCCCGTTCTCATAGCGTCTGCGTCCTCAGAGCGTCTGCGTCCTCAGAGCGTCTGCGTCCTCAAAGACGTCTGCGTCCTCAAAGAGTCTGCGTCCTCAGAGCGTCTGCGTCCTCAGAGCGTCTGCGTCCTCAGAGAGCGTTGCGTCCCCAGAGTCTGCGTCCTCAGAGCGTCTGCGTCCTCAGAGCGTCTGCGTCCTCAGAGCGTCTGCGTCCTCAGAGCGTCTGCGTCCTCAGAGTCTGCGTCCTCAGAGCAGAGCGTCTCTGCGTCCTCAGAGCGTCTGCGTCCTCAGAGCGTCTGCGTCCTCAGAGCTGCGTCCTCAGAGCGCGTCCTCAGCAGAGTCTGCGTCCAGAGTCTGCGTCCTCAGAGCGTCTCAGAGCGTCCTCAGCGTCTCCTCAGAGCGTCTGCGTCCTCAGAGTCTGCGTCCTCAGAGTCTGCGTCCTCAGAGCGTCTGCGTCCTCAGAGCTGTCCTCAGAGCGTCCTCAGAGTCGTCTCAGCGTCTCAGAGCGTCTGCGTCCTCAGAGAGTCTGCGTCCTCAGAGCGTCTGCGTCCTCAGAGCGTCTGCGTCCTCAGAGAGTCTGCGTCCTCAGAGCGTCTGCGTCCTCAGAGTCTGCGTCCTCAGAGCGTCTGCGTCCTCAGAGCGTCTGCGTCCTCAGAGTCTGAGTCTGCGTCCTCAGAGCGTCTGCGCAGAGTCTGCGTCCTCAGAGCGCGTCTCTCAGAGCGTCTGCGTCCTCAGAGAGTCTGCGTCCTCAGAGTCTGTCCTCAGAGTCTCTGCGTCCTCAGAGCGTCTGCGTCCTCAGAGCGTCTGCAGAGCTAGTCCTCAGAGCTCTGCGTCCTCAGAGTCTGCGTCCTCTGCGTCTGAGCGTCCTCAGAGTCTGCGTCCTCAGAGTCTGTCCTCAGAGTCTGCGTCAGAGCGTCTCGTCTCGTCTGCGTCCTCAGAGAGTCTGCGTCCTCAGAGTCTGCGTCTCAGAGTCTGCGTCGTCTCAGCGCTCAGTCTGCGTCCTCAGAGTCTGCGTCCTCATAGCGTCTGCGTCCTCAGAGCGTCTGCGTCCTCAGAGCGTCTGCGTCCTCAGAGAGTCTGCGTCCTCAGAGCGTCTGCGTCCTCAGAGTCTGCGTCCTCAGAGCGTCTGCGTCCTCAGAGCGTCTCAGAGCGTCTGCGTCCTCAGAGCGTCTGCGTCCTCAGAGAGAGCGTCTGCGTCCTCAGAGTCTGCGTCCTCAGAGCGTCTGCGTCCTCAGAGCTCAGAGCGTCTGCGTCCTCAGAGTCTGCGTCCTCAGAGCGTCTGCGTCCTCAGAGTCTGCGTCCTCAGAGCGTCTGCGTCCTCAGAGCGTCTGCGTCCTCATGCGTCCTCAGAGTCTGCGTCCTCAGAGCGTCTGCGTCCTCAGAGTCTGCGTCCTCAGAGCGTCTGCGTCCTCAGAGTCTGCGTCCTCAGAGCGTCCGTCAGAGAGTCTGCGTCCTCAGAGTCTGCGTCCTCAGAGAGTCTGCGTCCTCAGAGCGTCTGCGTCCTCATAGCGTCTGCATCCTCAAACTGACGGAGTTGAGGCTGCCACTCTGCCCCCCCCCCATGAACCTGAACAGGAGTGATGTTTGTTTCAGATTCTGATTTCCAACTTGTCGTCTCTGGGCAGGTTCATTGATTGTATTTAACTGACCTGAGCTCTCAACTGTTCTTCCTGGAGACCTGGAGCAGGTTTTGGGTTGATGGGGGAAACTGGAGCAAACTCCACACAGAAAGACCCGGGGTTAGAAACAGTGGAGATCAGTAAAGGGTTCAGTTCAGGTTCAGTTCAGTTCAGTTCAGGTTCAGTTCAGGTTCAGTTCAGGTTCAGTTCAGATTCAGTTCAGGTTCAGTTCAGGTTCAGTTCAGGTTCAGTTCAGATTCAGTTCAGGTTCAGTTCAGGTTCAGTTGATTCCTTTTGCCTCGGGTCCTTTTCTTTGGGAGGTTTTAGTCTGGAAACACTCTTCAGTTTGATTGTTTATTGGTGTTTTTTAGATTCTAATATGTGATCATGTAATAGCCCCTCTACCCTGCCCCTGTCTGCTCCTGCCAGCTCCTGTCAGCTCAGGTCTGCTCCTGCCAGCTCCTCACACTGATATAAAAATGACATCAGAGACAGATTTTTCTTCATTTTATTTCATTCCACATCACAAACACAGTAAATCCTCTGCTCCTGTCTGCTCCTGTCAGCTCCTGTCTGCTCCTGTCACCCTGACATAAAAACACATTACAGACAGATATTTCTTTATTTTATTTCCACTCCACAAACACAGGGGGCGCTCCGCTGCCCTCTCAGTCTCTTGGGGCTCAGGTTTAGACCTGGTTCAGTCTTTCCGTGGTCCTGGTTTAGACCCGGTTCAGTCTTTCCATGGTCCTGGTTAAGACCCGGTTTAGTCTTTCCGTGGTCCTGGTTCAGGTTCAGTCCCGGTGCGGGCCGTAGCCGGTCGATGCACGGCATCGGTAAGCGGCCATGTTGCCGTGGCGACGCCCTCCTTCAGCCAATCAGAAGCCGCTCGGGACTTCTCAGCCGAGTCTCTGTGGAACCGCATTTCCCATCATCCTCTGGGACGGTCAGGGGTCCGGCAGGTCAGAGGTGTCCACCGTAACCTGAAACAACCAAAGGGTGAGTCCAAAGGGTGAGTCCAAAGGGTGAGTCCAAAGGGTGAGTCCAAAGGGTGAGTCTCAGCCCTTTAAAGAGCTCCAGTCTTCAAGAGTCAGACTCATGAAACCAACAGAGATTTAAGATGCTACACTTTAGTCCTGGTTCAGTCCTGGTTCAGTCCTGGTTCAGTCCTGGTTCAGTCCTGGTTCAGTCCTGGTTTAGTCCTGGTTTAGTCCTGGTTCAGTCCTGGTTTAGTCCTGGTTCAGTCCTGGTTCAGTCCTGGTTCAGTCCTGGTTTAGTCCTGGTTCAGTCCTGGTTCAGTCCTGGTTTCAGTCCTGGTTCAGTCCTGGTTTAGTCCTGGTTCAGTCCTGGTTCAGTCCTGGTTCAGTCCTGGTTCAGTCCTGGTTCAGTCCTGGTTTAGTCCTGGTTTAGTCCTGGTTTAGTCCTGGTTTTGGTTCAGTCCTGGTTCAGTCCTGGTTTAGTCCTGGTTCAGTCCTGGTTCAGTCCTGGTTCAGTCCTGGTTCAGTCCTGGTTTAGTCCTGGTTCAGTCCTGGTTCAGTCCTGGTTTAGTCCTGGTTTAGTCCTGGTTCAGTCCTGGTTTAGTCCTGGTTCAGTCCTGGTTTAGTCCTGGTTCAGTCCTGGTTCAGTCCTGGTTTAGTCCTGGTTCAGTCCTGGTTCAGTCCTGGTTCAGTCCTGGTTTAGTCCTGGTTTAGTCCTGGTTCAGTCCTGGTTTAGTCCTGGTTTAGTCCTGGTCCTGGTTCAGTCCTGGTTCAGTCCTGGTTCAGTCCTGGTTCAGTCCTGGTTTAGTCCTGGTTCAGTCCTGGTTCAGTCCTGGTTTAGTCCTGGTTCAGTCCTGGTTCAGTCCTGGTCCTTGCCTTGATGAAGATGGTGTCGTCCTTGATGTAGGACCCGGACTCGAGCATGGTCTGGTTGGCGAACAGGGGGCATCCTGAGGCGATGTTCATTTCGGCGCTGGGGCGTTTGAAGCTGCTGCTGTTGGGGTCGGGTTTGAAGGCGTCACCGAGGTGTTTACGGGCGCCGCCCTGGTCCATGAGCATCAGCGTCACCTAGGCAACGCACGCCACGCTTAGAGACGACATCACACACACTCGAACCACGTACATATAAAATATATAAAATAACCCCAAATACATATATGAAATCATATGAAATCATATGAAATCATATGAAATCATATTTCACTTCATACATTCCCTGTGACCTCGCAGTGTTAGGATTCGTTCGCTCGACGGTCGGTGGGAACTTTTTATCATTAAACCAGTTGCTGCTGTTTGGTCGTGACGTTTGTAATGCGCCGCTAACGAGGCTGGACTGATTTATTAAACTTTTCCCAAATCCCGTAGGAAGACGAACAATAAAGTCTTTCCCCTTGATAAAATTCACCAAATGTTCTCTTTGTTCTGGCTTTAAATCCTCGATCTCGGGAATCGTTGCCAACACAGAATGTCTGTCTCTTCTCTGATTGGCTGGTGCCCGAACTCGCACCTCTGGGGTTTTTGTGAACCGTCCTGGCTAATCAAATACAGGAAGTAAAGACACACAGCTCAAACCCACACTGACCTGCAAAAAGTCCCTGAAATAGTTTTCCCTTCAAAGCCCCAGGGTCAAAGTACAGACCAAAGCAAAAGGTACAGAAACCTAAAAGTGTGTCCGGAGTAACACTGATAACACCACACACACACAACACCCATACACACATATTATACACACACATGTTATATACACACACACACAACCCCATACACACATATTATACACACACATGTTATATACACACACACACAACCCCATACACACATATTATACACACACATGTTATATACACACACACACAACCCCATACACACATATTATACACACACACACGTTATATACACACACACACAACCCCATACACACATATTATACACACACATGTTATATACACACACACACAACCCATACATACACACACACACACGTTATATATACACACACACACACACACACACATACACACATGTTATATACACACACACACAACCCCATACACACGTTATATACACACATGTGTTATACAAACACACACACAACCCCATACACACGTTATACACACATGTGTTATATACACACAGCAGTGTATATAACACATGTGTGTATATAACACGTGTGTGTGTATATAACACGTGAGTTATACACACACGTGTTATATACACACACATGTTATATACACACACGTGTTATATACACACACGTGTTATACACACATGTGTATATACACATGTGTATAAAACACATGTGTTATATACACACACACGTGTGTATAACACATGTGTTATATACACATGTGTTATATACACATGTGTTATAACACACGTGTTATATACACATGTGTATATAACACATGTGTTATATACACATGTGTTATATACACACCTGTGTTATACACACACGTGTTATATACACATGTGTATATATAACACATGTGTTATATATACACATGTGTTATACACACGTGTTATACACACGTGTTATTTACACACATTTCTTGAAGAACATTTCCAGACACACTGGCTGTAGACGTGGTGGTACCTTCTGTTTGAAAGGCCAGTGCAGCAGAGCGTCGTATTCTCCTCTCATCACCACAAAGAAGAGCGACAGGTGCGTCCCTTTGCCCATCCCGTCCCCGTTCAGGTAAACGCGGGCGCACATCTTATACCCGAAGTACGACGTGTAAAACGGCTGCGAGTAAAGACTCAGCGTCTTCCCCGAAACCGCCTCCTGCTTCCTCCGAGTGTAATCACGAATCTTCCAGATCAGAGTCCCGTTATAACTCGCCGTCTCCAGCACCTGCCACACCACAGGGTTAGTCCCGGTCTAGTCCCGGTCTAGTCCCGGTCTAGTCCCGGTCAAGTCCCGGTCTAGTCCCGGTCTAGTCCCCGGTCAAGTCCGGTCAAGTCCGGTCTAGTCCCGGTCTAGTCCCGGTCTAGTCCCGGTCAAGTCCCGGTCTAGTCCCGGTCAAGTCCCGGTCTAGTCCCGGTCAAGTCCCGGTCTAGTCCCGGTCTAGTCCCGGTCTAGTCCCGGTCAAGTCCCGGTCTAGTCCCGGTCTAGTCCCGGTCAAGTCCCGGTCTAGTCCCGGTCTAGTCCCGGTCAAGTCCCGGTCTAGTCCCGGTCTAGTCCCGGTCTAGTCCCGGTCAAGTCCCGGTCTAGTCCCGTCTAGTCCCGGTCAAGTCCCGGTCAAGTCCCGTCTCTAGTCCCGGTCTAAGTCCGGTCAAGTCCCGGTCTAGTCCCGGTCTAGTCCCGGTCAAGTCCCGGTCTAGTCCCGGTCTAGTCCCGGTCAAGTCCCGGTCTAGTCCCGGTCTAGTCCCGGTCTAGTCCCGGTCTAGTCCCGGTCTAGTCCCGGTCTAGTCCCGGTCTAGTCCCGGTCTAGTCCCGGTCAAGTCCCGGTCTAGTCCCGGTCTAGTCCCGGTCCTAGTCCCGGTCCTAGTCCCGGTCTAGTCCCGGCCTAGTCCCGGTCCTAGTCCCGGTCAAGTCCCGGTCTAGTCCCGGTCTAGTCCCGGTCAAGTCCCGGTCTAGTCCCGGTCAAGTCCCGGTCAAGTCCCGGTCTAGTCCCGGTCAAGTCCCGGTCTAGTCCCGGTCTAGTCCCGGTCTAGTCCCGGTCTAGTCCCGGTCTAGTCCCGGTCTAGTCCCGGTCTAGTCCCGGTCTAGTCCCGGCCTAGTCCCGGTCTAGTCCCGGTCTAGTCCCGGTCTAGTCCCGGTCTAGTCCCCGGTCTAGTCCCGGTCAAGTCCCGGTCTAGTCCCGGTCTAGTCCCGGTCTAGTCCCGGTCAAGTCCCGGTCTAGTCCCGGTCTAGTCCCGGTCAAGTCCCGGTCTAGTCCCGGTCTAGTCCCGGTCTAGTCCCGGTCTAGTCCCGGTCCAGTCCCGTCTAGTCCCGGTCTAGTCCCGGTAGTCCCGGTCAGTCCCGGTCAGTCCCGGTCTAGTCCCGGTCAAGTCCCGGTCTAGTCCCGATCTAGTCCCGGTCAGTCCCGGTCTAGTCCCGGCCTAGTCCCGGTCTAGTCCCGCTCTAGTCTCACCTGGAAACGCAGGTCCATATCAGCCAATCGGATCTCATGAACGCTGAGCACATCGTCATGACGACCGAGCTGCGTCTCCAGCGTCACTGCACACAGAGGTCACACAGGGGTCACACAGGGGTCACACAGGGGTCACACAGAGGTCACACAGGGGTCACACAGGGGTCACACAGAGGTCACACAGAGGTCACACAGGGGTCACACAGGGTCACACAGGGTCACACAGAGGTCACACAGGGTCACACAGGGGTCACACAGGGTCACAGAGGTCACAGGGGTCAGAGGTCACAGAGGTCACACAGAGGTCACACAGGGGTCACACAGGGGTCACACAGAGGTCACAGTCACAGGTCAGGGGTCACACAGGGTCACACAGGGGTCACACAGAGGTCACACAGGGTCACACAGGGTCACAGGCAGGGTCACACAGGGTCGGGTCAGGGTCAGGGTCATGGGTCAGGCGTCAGGTCGGACTCACCCAGGGCGTGGCTGGTCCCGGCTCCGGTCCGGGTCTGTTCCAGGGCCGTGATCCGGGTTCTCAGGTTCTCGACTTCGTCTCTGAGGGAACGAACAGAACGAAGCTCCATCTCCAAGTCCAGAAGCTTCTCAGAGTGAGCGCTCAGCAACTTCTGCAGGACCAGAGAACGGGTCTGAACCAGGACTAAACCAGGACTAAACCGGGTCTGAACCAGGTCTGAACCAGGTCTGAACCAGGACTAAACCAGGTCTGAACCAGGACTAAACCAGGACTAAACCAGGACTAAACCAGGACTAAACCGGGTCTGAACCAGGTCTGAACCAGGTCTGAACCAGGTCTGAACCAGGACTAAACCAGGTCTGAACCAGGACTAAACCAGGACTAAACCAGGACTAAACCAGGACTAAACTGGGTCTGTTCTCCATACCTGTACAGTGGGTTAGTTCTGGTCTGGTCCTGGTCTTGGTTTAGTCTTGGTCCTGGTCTGGTTCTAGCCTGGTCCTGGTCTAGTCCTGATCTGGTTCTGGTCTGGTTCTGGCCTGGTTCTAGCCTGGTTCTGGCCTGGTGCTGGTCTGGTGCTGGTCTGGTTCTAGCCTGGTTCTGGTCTGGTTCTGGTCTGGTTCTGGCCTGGTTCTGGTCTGGTCTGGTCTGGTGCTGGTCTGGTGCTGGTCTGGTTCTGGTCTGGTTCTGGTCTGGTCTGGTCTGGTCTGGTCTGGTCTGGTCTGGTCTGGTTCTGGTCTGGTGCTGGTCTGGTGCTGGTCTGGTGCTGGTCTGGTTCTGGTCTGGTTCTGGCCTGGTTCTGGCCTGGTTCTAGCCTGGTTCTGGTCTGGTTCTGGTCTGGTGCTGGCCTGGTGCTGGTCTGGTGCTGGTGCTGGTCTGGTGCTGGTCTGGTTCTGGTTCTGGTCTGGTTCTGGTCTGGTGCTGGTCTGGTCTGGTCTGGTGCTGGTCTGGTTCTGGTTCTGGTTCTGGTTCTGGTCTGGTCTGGTTCTGGCCTGGTTCTGGTTGGTCTGGTCTGGTTCTGGTCTGGTGCTGGTCTGGTGCTGGTCTGGTCTGGTGGTTCCTGGTTCTGGTCTGGTTGGTCTGGTCTGGTTGGTCTGGTCTGGTGGTCTGGTCTGGTCTGGTCTGGTCTGGTTCTGGTCTGGTGCTGGTGCTGGTCTGGTTCTGGTCTGGTTGGTCTGGTCTGGTGGTCTGGTCTGGTTGGTCTGGTCTGGTGCTGGTCTGGTCTGGTCTGGTCTGGTCTGGTGGTCTGGTTCTGGTTCTGGTCTGGTCTGGTCTGGTCTGGTTCTGGTCTGGTTCTGGTCTGGTGGTCTGGTCTGGTGCTGGTCTGGTCTGGTTCTGGTCTGGTTGGTCTGGTCTGGTTCTGGTTCTGGTGGTCTGGTGGTCTGGTCTGGTTGGTGGTCTGGTTGCTGGTCTGGTTCTGGTTCTGGTCTGGTTCTGGCCTGGTTCTGCCTGGTTCTGGTTCTGGTTGGCTGGTTGGTTCTGGGGTGGTGGTTCTGGGTGGTGGTTCTGGTCTGGTTCTGGTCTGGTTCTGGCCTGGTTCTAGCCTGGTGCTGGTCTGGTGCTGGTCTGGTTCTGGCCTGGTTCTGGTCTGGTGCTGGTCTGGTGCTGGCCTGGTTCTGGTCTGGTGCTGGTCTGGTTCTGGTCTGGTGCTGGTCTGGTTCTGGTCTGGTGCTGGTCTGGTGCTGGTCTGGTTCTGGTCTGGTGCTGGTGGTGCTGGTCTGGTCTGGTCTGGTGGTCTGGTCTGGTTCTGGTCTGCTGGTCTGGTCTGGTGGTTCTGGTCTGGTGCTGGTGCTGGTGGTGGTCTGGTCTGGTTCTGGTGCTGGTTCTGGTCTGTCTGGTCTGCTGGTCTGGTGCTGGTCTGGTTCTGGTCTGGTTCTGGTCTGGTTCTGGTCCGGTACCTGCACGGTGGTGAGCTTCTGTTCGCTCTGGCGGCTTCTTTCTCTCAGATCTTCATTGTGGACTTCAGTCTCAGACACACGACTGCTCAGACCTGGAAGAACCTGGAATCGGTCCGAGATCTCCACCCTCAAGTCCTCCACCTGCGGGGGGGTCAGAAGATGTAGGATGTAGGAGCTAGGACATAGGAGCTAGGATGTAGGAGCTAGGATGTAGGAGCTAGGACGTAGGATGTAGGGGCTAAGACATAGGATGTAGGACGTAAGATGTAGGAGCTAGGACATAGGATGTAGGAGCTAGGATGTAGGACGTAGGAGCTAGGACATAGGACATAAGATGTAGGAGCTAGAATGTAGGACGTAGGAGCTAGGGCATAGAATGTAGGATGTAGGAGCTAGGACATAGGATGTAGGAGCTAGGACGTAGGATGTAGGAGCTAGGACGTAGGAGCTAGGATGTAGGATGTAGGAGCTAGGACATAGGATGTAGGAGCTAGGACGTAGGATGTAGGAGCTAGGGCGTAGGATGTAGGAGCTAGGGCGTAGGATGTAGGAGCTAGGACATAGGATGTAGGATGTAGGAGCTAGGACATAGGATGTAGGACGTAGGAGCTAGGACATAGGATGTAGGACGTAGGAGCTAGGACATAGGATGTAGGACGTAGGATGTAGGAGCTAGGACATAGGATGTAGGAAATAGGAGCTAGGACATAGGATGTAGGACGTAGGAGCTAGGACATAGGATGTAGGACGTAGGATGTAGGAGCTAGGACATAGGATGTAGGACATAGGAGCTAGGACATAGGATGTAGGACGTAGGACGTACCTTGCTCTCGAGGGCGGAGCTTCTCGATGACATCATTCTTAAATGTTCAGACACAAACGTCGACTCGTGGAGTTTGAGTTCGTCCTTTAGACCCTGAAACAAAAGTTAAAAGGTTAAAGGTTAAACGTTACACACACGACACGCTCAGACAGGTGCACACTGACAGGTGCACACTGACAGGTGCAGTCAGACGGCAGGTGCGGCAGATGATGTACCTTAAAGGAGCAGCCCTGTCGGTGGAAGGGGCAGTTGGCCTGAGCTTTGGGACACTCCCCCTGGTGGACGAGTAACTGAAAGACACAAAAAAACAAAGAGTCAAGATCCTCGCAGAGGGACAGAGGGACAGAGGACAGAAGGACAGAGGACAGAAGGACAGAGGGACAGAGGGACAGAAGGACAGAGGGACAGAGGGACAGAGGACAGAAGGACAGAAGGACAGAGGACAGAGGGACAGAGGGACAGAAGGACAGAGGACAGAGGACAGAAGGACAGAGGACAGAGGACAGAGGGACAGAGGGACAGAGGGACAGAGGGACAGAGGACAGAGGGACAGAGGACAGAGGACAGAGGGACAGAGGGACAGAGGGACAGAGGACAGAGGGACAGAGGGACAGAGGGACAGAGGGACAGAGGGACAGAGGACAGAGGGACAGAGGGACAGAGGGACAGAGGGACAGAGGAGGGACAGAGGGACAGAGGACAGAGAGGGACAGAGGGACAGAGGGACAGAGGGACAGAGGACAGACAGAGGACAGAGGGACAGAGGGACAGAGGGAAGAGGACAGAGGACAGAGGACAGAGGACAGAGGGACAGAGGACAGAGGGACAGAGGGACAGAGGACAGAGGACAGAGGGACAGAGGACAGAGGACAGAGGGACAGAGGGACAGAGGGACAGAGGGACAGAAGGACAGAGGGACAGAGGGACAGAGGGACAGAGGGACAGAGGGACAGAGGGACAGAGGACAGAGGGACAGAGGGACAGAGGGACAGAGGGAGAGGACAGAGGGACAGAGGACAGAGGGACAGAGGGACAGAAGGACAGAGGGACAGAGGGACAGAGGGACAGAGGGACAGAGGACAGAGGACAGAGGACAGAGGACAGAGGACAGAGGACAGAGGGACAGAGGGACAGAGGGACAGAAGGGACAGAGGGACAGAGGGACAGAGGACAGAGGGACAGAAGGACAGAGGGACAGAGGGACAGAGGGACAGAGGGACAGAGGGACAGAGGGACAGAGGGACAGAGGGACAGAGGGACAGAGGGACAGAGGGACAGAGGACAGACAGAGGACAGAGGGACAGAGGACAGAGGGACAGAGGGACAGAGGGACAGAGGACAGAGGGACAGAGGACAGAGGGACAGAGGACAGAGGACAGAGGGACAGAGGGACAGAGGACAGAGGACAGAGGGACAGAGGACAGAGGACAGAGGGACAGAGGGACAGAGGACAGAGGGACAGAGGGACAGAGGGACAGAGGACAGAAGGACAGAGGGACAGAGGGACAGAGGGACAGAAGGGACAGAGGGACAGAGGGACAGAGGGACAGAGGACAGAGGACAGAGGACAGAGGGACAGAGGGACAGAGGACAGAGGACAGAGGACAGAGGGACAGAGGGACAGAGGGACAGAGGACAGAGGGACAGAGGGACAGAAGGACAGAGGGAAGACAGAGGGACAGAGGGACAGAGGGACAGAGGACAGAGGACAGAGGGACAGAGGACAGAGGACAGAGGGACAGAGGGACAGAAGGACAGAGGGACAGAGGGACAGAGGACAGAGGGACAGAGGGACAGAGGACAGAGGGACAGAGGACAGAGGGACAGAGGGACAGAGGGACAGAGGACAGAGGGACAGAGGGACAGAGGGACAAAGACAGGGACAGAGGGACAGAGGGACAGAGGGACAGAGGGACAGAGACAGGGACAGAGGGACAGAGGGACAGAGGGGACAGAGGACAGAGGGACAGAGGGACAGAAGGGACAGAAGGGACAGAGGGACAGAGGACAGAAGGACAAAGGGACAGAGGACAGAGGGACAGAGGGACAGAGGGACAGAAGGGACAGAGGACAGACAGAGGGACAGAGGACAGAGGACAGAGGACAGAGAGGGACAGAGACAGAAGGACAGAGGGACAGAGGGACAGAGGACAGAGGGAGGGACAGAGGGACAGAGGGACAGAGGGACAGAGGGACAGAAGGACAGAGGGGACAGAGACAGAGGGACAGAGGAAGAGGGACAAAGAGGGACAGAGGACAGAGGACAGAGGACAGAGGACAGAAGGGACAGAGGACAAAGGACAGAGGACAGAGGACAGAGGACAGAGGGACAGAGGACAGAAGGACAGAGGGACAGAGAGACAGAGGGACAGAGGACAGAGGGACAGAGGGACAGAGGGACAGAGGACAGAAGGACAGAGGACAGAGGGACAGAGGGACAGAGGGACAGAGGACAAAGGGACAGAACAGGGGACAGAGGACAGAGGGACAGAGACAGAGACAGAGGACAGAGGGACAGAGGACATAGGGACAGAGGACAGAAGGACAGAGGACAGAGGACAAAGGGACAGAGGGACAGAGGACATGTATAGTAGTAGTAATAGTAGTAGTAGAAGTAGTAGTAGTAGCAGTAGCAGTAGTAGTACTTGTAGTACTTGTAGTACTTGTAGTACTTGTACCTCAGAGCGGGGCAGGGGGGCAGAGGGACACAGGTTCGGGCAGGACACAGGAAACGCCGGACACACAGTCTCTTTGTGTTTCTACAAAAACATTTAGACCAATGAACAACAGGGACCTGCACCTGTCTGACACCTGTCTGACACCTGTCTGTCACCTGTCTGTCACCTGTCTGACACCTGTCTGTCACCTGTCTGACACCTGTCTGTCACCTGTCTGTCACCTGTCTGACACTGTCTGTCACCTGTCTGACCTGTCTGACACTGTCTGACACCTGTCTGTCACCTGTCTGACCTGTCTGACACCTGACACCTGTCTGTCACTGTCTGTCTGACACCTGTCTGTCACCTGTCTGTCACCTGACACCTGTCTGTCACCTGTCTGTCACCTGTCTGACACTGTCACCTGTCTGACACCTGTCTGTCACCTGTCTGACACCTGTCTGTCACCTGTCTGTCACCTGTCTGTCACCTGTCTGTCACCTGTCTGTCACCTGTCTGTCACCTGTCTGACACCTGTCTGTCACCTGTCTGACACCTGTCTGTCACCTGTCTGACACCTGTCTGTCACCTGTCTGTCACCTGTCTGTCACCTGTCCATCACGTCATGTGACAGACAGGTGACAGACAGGTGTGTGTGTGTGTGTGTGTGTGTGTGAGACAGGTGTGTGACAGGTGTGTGACAGGTGTGTGTGTGTGTGTGACAGGTGTGTGTGTGTGTGTGTGTGTGACAGGTGTGTGTGTGTGACAGGTGTGTGTGTGTGTGTGACAGGTGTGTGTGTGTGTGTGTGTGTGTGTGTGTACAGGTGTGTGTGTGACAGGTGTGTGTGACAGGTGTGTGTGTGTGTGTGTGACAGGTGTGTGTGTGTGACAGGTGTGTGTGTGTGTGTGTGACAGGTGTGTGTGTGTGTGTGTGAGACAGGTGTGTGTGTGTGACAGGTGTGACAGGTGTGTGACAGGTGTGTGTGTGTGACAGGTGTGTGACAGGTGTGTGTGTGTGACAGGTGTGTGACAGGTGTGTGTGTGTGTGTGTGTACAGGTGTGTGTGACAGGTGTGTGTGTGTGTGTGTGACAGGTGTGTGTGTGTGACAGGTGACAGTGTGTGACAGTGTGTGTGTGTGTGTGTGTGACAGGTGTGTGTGTGTGTGTGTGTGTGTGTGTGACAGGTGTGTGACAGGTGTGTGTGTGTGACAGGTGTGTGTGTGTGTGTGTGACAGGTGTGTGTGTGTGTGTGACAGGTGTGTGTGTGACAGGTGTGTGTGACAGGTGTGTGTGTGTGACAGGTGTGTGTGTGTGTGTGTGACACAGGTGTGTGTGTGTGTGTGTGTGACAGGTGTGTGTGTGTGACAGGTGTGTGTGTGTGTGTGTGTGTGTGTGACAGGTGTGTGTGTGTAACAGGTGTGTGTGTGTGTGTACAGGTGTGTGTGTGTGTGTGACAGGTGTGTGTGTGTGTGACAGGTGTGTGTGTGTGACAGGTGTGTGTGTGTGTGTGTGACAGGTGTGTGTGTGTGACAGGTGTGTGACAGGTGTGTGACAGGTGTGTGTGTGTGTGTGTGTGTGTGACAGGTGTGTGTGACAGGTGTGTGTGTGTGTGTGTGTGTGACAGGTGTGTGTGTGTGTGTGTGACAGGTGTGTGTGTGTGTGTGTGACAGGTGTGTGTGTGTGTGACAGGTGTGTGTGTGTGTGTGTGTGTGACAGGTGTGTGTGTGTGACAGGTGTGTGACAGGTGTGTGTGTGTGTGACAGGTGTGTGTGTGACAGGTGTGTGTGTGTGACAGGTGTGACAGGTGTGTGTGACAGGTGTGTGACAGGTGTGTGTGTGTGACAGGTGTGTGTGTGTGTGTGTGTGTGTGTGTGTGACAGGTGTGTGTGTGTGACAGGTGTGTGTGACAGGTGTGTGTGTGTGTGACAGGTGTGTGTGTGTGTGTGTGTGACAGGTGTGTGTGTGTGTGTGTGACAGGTGTGTGTGTGTGACAGGTGTGTGTGTGTGTGTGTGTGACAGGTGTGTGTGTGTGACAGGTGTGTGTGTGTGTGTGTGACAGGTGTGTGTGTGTGTGTGTGTGACAGGTGTGTGACAGGTGTGTGTGTGTGACAGGTGTGTGTGTGTGTGTGTGACAGGTGTGTGTGTGTGTGTGTGACAGTGTGTGTGTGTGTGACAGGTGTGTGTGTGTGTGTGACAGGTGTGTGTGTGACAGGTGTGTGTGTGTGTGTGTGTGTACAGGTGTGTGTGTGTGTGTGTGACAGGTGTGTGTGTGTGTGTGTGTGTGAGACAGGTGTGTGTGACAGGTGTGTGTGTGTGACAGTGTGTGTGTGTGTGTGTGTGTGTGACAGGTGTGTGTGTGTGTGTGACAGGTGTGTGACAGGTGTGTGTGTGTGTGTGACAGGTGTGTGTGTGTGTGTGTGTGTGTGTGACAGGTGTGTGTGTGTGTGTGTGACAGGTGTGTGTGTGTGTGTGTGACAGGTGTGTGTGTGTGTGTGTGACAGGTGTGTGTGTGTGTGTGTGTGTGTGACAGGTGTGTGTGTGTGACAGGTGTGTGTGTGTGACAGGTGTGTGTGTGTGTGACAGGTGTGTGTGTGTGTGTGTGTGTGTGACAGGTGTGTGTGTGTGTGTGTGACAGGTGTGTGACAGGTGTGTGTGTGACAGGTGTGTGTGTGTGTGTGTGTGTGTGTGTGACAGGTGTGTGTGTGTGTGTGTGACAGGTGTGTGTGTGACAGGTGTGTGTGTGTGTGTGTGACAGGTGTGTGACAGGTGTGTGTGTGTGACAGGTGTGTGACAGGTGTGTGTGTGTGTGACAGGTGTGTGTGTGTGTGTGTGACAGGTGTGTGTGTGTACAGGTGTGTGTGTGACAGGTGTGTGACAGGTGTGACAGGTGTGTGTGTGTGACAGGTGTGTGAGACAGGTGTGTGTGTGTGTGTGTGTGACAGGTGTGTGTGTGTGACAGGTGTGTGTGTGTGTGAGACAGGTGTGTGTGTGTGACAGGTGTGTGTGTGTGTGACAGGTGTGTGTGTGTGACATGTGTGTGACAGGTGTGTGTGTGTGTGACAGGTGTGTGTGTGTGACAGGTGTGTGACAGGTGTGTGTGACAGGTGCTCACCTGCAGCTCTGCCAGGGGCATCTTGCACAGACAGAACTCGCAGCTCGTTTCTCGGTGTTTACATTTCCAGTTCAAATGTTCAGGGACGTCCTTCCTCATCATCCGCTCCTGGCAGCGCCCGAGCGGGCACGGGACCTCCAGGAACGGGCACACGGTCAGGTGGTCCTGCAACGCCAAACACAAACTAACAACTGACCGACAGGAGCGGGCACACGGTCAGGTGGTCCTGCAACGCCAAACACAAACTAACAACTGACCGACAGGAGCGGGCACACGGTCAGGTGGTCCTGCAACGCCAAACACAAACTAACAACTGACCGACAGGAGCGGGTCAGAGTGGAGCTCTACTCTCCCGCCGGCCGATGCAGAACAGCAGCAGCGCGGGACACGTTTGTGGGCACGGGCGAGAGCGGGAAAATTCAGTGCGCAGACCTCTAGGTTAGAGGTCAGGGGTCACTCACCAGCAGCTCATGGGTTAGCGTCAGGGGTCAGGGGTCACTCACACACAGCTGCTGGGTTAGGGTCAGGGGTCACGGGTCAGGGGTCACTCACAAGCAGCTGCTGGGTTAGGGTCAGGGGTCGGGGGTCACGGGTCAGGGGTCACTCACACACAGCTGCTGGGTTAGGGTCAGGGGTCGGGGGTCACGGGTCACTCACACACAGCTGCTGAGTTAGGGTCACGGGTCAGGGGTCACTCACACACAGCTGCTGGGTTAGGGTCAGGGGTCAGGGGTCACTCACACACAGCTGCTGGGTTAGGGTCAGGGGTCGGGGGTCACGGGTCAGGGGTCACTCACACACAGCTGCTGAGTTAGGGTCAGGGGTCAGGGGTCACTCACCGGCAGCTGCTGCAGACTGATCTGTTCTTTACATCCGTCTTTTTCACTTCGACAGAAAACTTTAAGCGCCAGAATCTCGCGTTGACAACAGATGTCCCGGAAAATCTGAAAAAAATCACAACATTTTATTTATTTACAACAACAATGACAAAAAAACAACAACAGCAACAACACTGACAACAACACTGACAACAACACTGACAACAACACTGACAACAACAGAGACAACGACAACGACAACGACAAAGGCGTGTTGGGGCTGGCGTCACAGGGCCTGAATTAATGTTAGGGTTAGCATTGGTGTGTGTGTATGTGTGTGTGTGTATGTGTGTTGTGTGTGTGTCGTGTGTGTGTGTGTGTGTGTGTGTGTGTGTGTGTCGTGTGTGTCGTGTGTGTGTGTGTGTGTGTGTGTGTGTATGTGTGTTGTGTGTGTGTGTATGTGTGTTGTGTGTGTGTGTCGTGTGTGTGTGTGTCGTGTGTGTGTGTCTGTGTATGTGTGTGTGTGTGTGTGTGTCGTGTATGTGTGTGTGTGTGTGTGTGTGTGTGTCGTGTGTCTGTGTGTGTCGTGTATGTGTGTTGTGTGTGTGTGTCGTGTGTGTGTCTGTGTGTGTCGTGTATGTGTGTGTTGTGTGTGTGTCGTGTGTCTGTGTGTGTCGTGTATGTGTGTGTGTGTGTGTGTGTCGTGTGTGTCGTGTGTGTGTGTGTGTGTATGTGTGTTGTGTGTGTGTGTATGTGTGTTGTGTGTGTGTGTCGTGTGTGTGTGTGTCGTGTGTGTGTGTGTCGT